ATATATATATATATATAATTAGGTATTCCCTACTGTTCCAGTTGCCAGCTAATCCCAGTTGCAGTTTTCTGCTCAGATACATTTTTATTTGTTTAACACCCTCAGGATCTATACCATATTTATATTGAATGGGCATTAGTTACAATTTCTCGGAGAGATCGCGTAATTTGGCCTGACCAACATTTTGAACAAGGCCAGTCGGCTCAAATCCTCGGTCACGATGACTCATCCCTTCGCGTTAATACAACCGCCGAGCGTATCCGAACAGTTTCGTTTCACAATTTTCACTGACAAAGCTTACGTTCAATTCATGCTACTGTCTTCAAACCCTTACCTAATTCGGCGCACGCGCTGATCATTTCCTCAACTCAATATTAACAAGTAATCACCTTCTCTAAAAAAATCGAACCCGGCTGTTATGGTTGAGCGCGAACGTTCTGAACACTCGGCCTCACGCCAACATATAATATTACTCTAGGTGTGTACTTTTATTGAGTAATCTACTGATCGATTAGCAGATAGATTTTAGTGGGTGGGTGAAATCGATATTCATGAAAACTGAAGTAACTAGTTTGATTGAATTATCAATAATACTTTATAACGTTTTATTCCGAGTCTACATACGTTCTAACTTCTTATTTTTTAGTTTGTCGCACTGTTATTTTTAATTTTCTTAAGCAGATGATGTTTGTTATCAGGACAAGATCGAGTTTAGAAATGCATCTATAAGGTGACTACGGCCACATCATCAGTGATGTTGCCCTGGGATCTTTAGGAGTTTCGAGCTTATCCAACATCAGACTTCATTCAGGTGATCCTGATGAGGTTGATCAAATACCAACATGTGTCCACGCAACGACCCGTATGAAAATATCAGTTGCAGAATGCAAACAGCTTTAAAAGATATTTTAGAACCCTAAAATCTGCAAATCAGCTTTCGGCCAATGGAATTCTTCCGCGGGAACCCCACCTCCATAAGAATAGGAGAATAAAAAAAAAATAAGGCTTTTCCAAACCATAAATGGCGCGGACGAATTCTGGAACACAGAATGATCAGCAACGTTCAGTTTCTTCATTAAAAAAAATAAAATAAAAAAATGGTGTACTCATCTATACACACACACACGCGCGTGCCCACCTATAGGCACAAAAACTCACACGCTCACTCGCAAATGTGTTTATTTTTCGAAAGATATCCGTATAAAGGAGAAAAAACGCCTTTATACTTAATATCGAAGGGTTATCAATTAAGCCGTGGTTATTCCAAGAGAAAAAGTAATCACAATTCCGAGTTAGCATTTTTCCAAGCGTAGCTCGGATGTGGCACAAGGCCGAAAGTATGGGGCACCCAGTGAGGAACTGTTCTAGCAAGACAAGCTTGCTAACCATTACACCGCCTTGAAGGGCCCTAATGATTTCTAAGCGCAGATTAGATGTGCCACAAGGCCGAAAGTATTAGGCACCTAGTGAGAATCGAACTCACTAGTATTTGATCTGGCAAGACAAGCTTGCTAACCATTACACCACGTCGAGGTGCCCACTCGCAACTCCGAATTAGACAGCATTTGAAATACCTATCCATCTAATTAAAAAATATCTGTGTATCATTAATACTCTATCTAAATAAATAAATTATCCAACTTAGATATTGAATAAGTTGATAAATGAAGTCCTACTAAAGAAAGTTGTACCTCCCAACAACAATCGAATGTGTATTTCTTTTTGCTGTCAAGGAGACCATTCCTATAGACGAAGCAAATCTTATTTACCGACTTTAAGGATTAATTGATTGATTTGTTGGTGCTAGTATAGTATGACATACATCGAGGCATATGTAGCCTAGCATAAATGACGATGCACTCATTATTGCTGGAAAATGCTCAGGAAAAACGATGACCTGGTTAAATGACATCAAATCAGTTTACAAACATTAAAATCACTATTTGACAATTTTATTTTATTTCTTGTATAAACATTGTTAATGATTTTTAATACGTAACCAGTTTATTGTTCACTGTCTTTAATTCTAACTCTACCCTAAGCCCAAACATATTTCAGACTTCCAACAGCTGGTAAATATCATGCCACAGTAGAAAACAAATATATTATAGCAGAAAATGAACTGTGGATAACATACTATAATTAAATTTGTTGATCGAACAAGAATCGGTGTTTTCAGAACAATTTGATCTTAAGCACGTAGCATTGATGCGTACCTCTTTATAGTAATACGAAATAGGGCACCTCGAGGAGGTGTAATGGTTAACGAGCTTGTCTCGCTAGAACAATTACGACTGAGTGGTGAGTTCAATCCTCACTGGGTTCCACTCACATTCGGCCTTGAATCACATCCAAGCAACACTTGAAAAATCACTAGGGCACCTCTTGGAGGTGCAATGGTTAGCGAGCTTGTTTCGCTAAAACAATTACGACTAAGTAGTGAGTTCGATACTCACTGGGTGCCCCAAACTTTTGGCCTTGTGCCACATCTGAGCTAGGCTTCGAAAATCGCTATAGCAATAAGAAATAGTCTTAAGTTAAAAAAATCCATACAAGAATCATAGCGTTTGGTTATAAAAATTGCTAGCAGATGTTCATTTGAAAGAACTCAATCGGAGGTCTTCATTTCTTAAGTACCTAAATGGGCTCTGTCCTAACATGACTTTTTCTGTAGTTTAATTGGTAGGGTGCAAACTTTGGCTATAGCAGTCGTTTCCCTGGTGGGAAAAAGGTCAATACAGGTTTAGTAGAACTTTTCGATATAGGCTGTTTGCCTTTAATTTTAGTGTTTGAAAAAACAAAAATAAGCATGTCAACTTAAACATGTGTGACCAGTACAAGTAGAGTTTATATTAATAAGAAATAATGTCGGTTTAAAAATACATTAAAAATGCATGTGCATATCTCTCTCTCTCTCTCTCTCTCTCTCTATATATATATATATATATATATATATATATGTGTGTGTGTGTGTGTGCATATATATATATATATATATATGTGTGTGTGTGCATATATATATATATATATGTGTGTGTGCATATATATATATATGTGTGTGTGTATATATATATATATATATATGTGTGTGTGTGTGTGCATATATATATATATATATGTGCATATATATATATATATATATATATATATGTGTGTGTGTGTGTGTGTGCGCGTGTGTATATATATATAGTAATGATACAATATGGTAATCCGTATGGAATTTCTAGGAGAATATAAATCCAGTGAGAGCTCTATGTCAAAAAACAGTGTAAAATTATTATTAATTAAAAAATATATTTATA